TTATCCTGTTTTAACCTATGTGAAAGGTACAACTTTATGTTTGTAGACTGTTGTTTAACTAAATCTTTGAACACTAGGACGCAAGACAACAGCCCACAGAGAAAGTTGTTGTTTATACAAAAGAAGATGAAGTAGTTTTGTGCTTTATTTCTTGTGTTACATTTTTCTGATGCTGTGAAGAAAAAAAAAGCTTTTTGCGGTGTTATTGTCCAACTGATGTGTTGATGCAGAAGGACTTGAATCGAAAAGCAAACTCATTGTAAATGTAACTAGTTTATCTTTGAAACTATCTTCCAGAAACCGTGTGTTCTCTAACCTTTTACCAAACCTCATCCACGTGGAGTTATTTCTACAGATCTCTAAGAGAATTGACCTTCCACACATGTGCATGTTTGTGGACCTGTTTGTTGACCTTTATTGCCGTGGCCTATAGCAGCTTGTGACTGTTTAGCTCATATTTCTCCTCAGGCCTCTTGTTTTTCTGCTGTTTGTAGCAGCACCTGAGAGTACATTACTGTTAAGGAGACCTGCAGCTGAGCAGACAAAGTAAGTAGATCTCCTCTCCTGCACTCTAATCTAATCAGACTCGATGTTTCCAAACACGCAGCAGCTGGATGAAGGTGCTGCGGTGATACTCCAGAAACAAAGCCTGCATTTGTTGCAGAGTGGAGACTGACTTAAGCTTCTCCAATTCCTTGCTCATTTTAGCATTTTCGCCCTGAAGCTTAACACTGACAAGAACGCAATTTAAGGGCCTAACGCATGTGTGTGTGCTTGTTGTCTTCACAATGCCCACCTTCTCTGTGGCACCTGTAGAAAGACAGTCAGGTTATATACGGCAAATTTAAAACAACCATCTAAAAGAAGACATTTAAATGTGTTACATTTAGAAATATTAGTTTGTACTGACTTTGTGTTAATTATGTGTATTTAAAGAAACCAATTGTGGTTGCCAAAAAATTGTGACAATTATGTATTTGAAAACAAATGGTTCATTGAAATGAAAATAAATATGTTCAGTAAACTGACCATAAAACTGTTAAAGTAAATATATCATAAATGCAGATTTGGTTAGTTCTGTTGCCTCACAGCAAAGAGGTCATTTGTTTTCTCCCAACTCAGAAGAACGAGGTATTCTCTGTATTTACCAGGTTGTGCCCATTGGTATTAGGAGAGTCCATATTGACCATAGAAGTAAATTTGAGATGGTCTACCTTACGTTGACTCTGTGACGGCTGTGCAAGCACAGATTGTATTCAGAATTGTATCTAAGGTGTGAGCAAAGTGGTCCAATGAAAACAGAGGAGACAGAGAAGATCAGGTTGATTTATTTGTGTTCTCCCCCATTGTTT